AGTGCTGTTTAAACCTGTTGACTTTGCATTGAAAATCGACGTGACACTAAAATTTTTGTGACCTAATTATTTCGAAGCTCATCGCCGTTTCGCAAAAACAAAAAACATATTCAGAATCAGAATGTTATGGGCTTTCTAATGAAATGGGCCATGAAGTGTGACTTGGAATCCCGCGCAGGTAGTTCTCTAGTTAGAGGTGCTCACCGAAAATCGACTAAATGGCTTGAAGCTTGTAGAAGAGTTTTTTGCTTCGAAGATTCCATTTCTTGAAATGAATGAGTGATGAGACCATACTCTCTGAAAACGTTTTGATTGTGAATGACTGTGAATTCTCAAAGATCTATTTTACCCTAAATAGAAAGAAGCGTCAATGGAAAACACAGGAATCTGAAACAGTTCTTTAGCCAACTTTTGTAGCCGTGGAAAGCGAGTCGATTGTCGTGCCCAAAAGTCCATGATATCCGTTTCTATACCAGATACATTATTGATATAGGTTGAAAACGCGACTAGTTCTTTCTAAAACATTTCAATTTGAAGAAGTAGCTAACAGCCTTGCTCACATCAACTGCTGATCCGTGTTGGTAGTTCATCTTCAAGCGTTCATTGAAACTTTTCGCACTCATCGAATCACGAAGGGCTGAAAATATCTGGTTAAATAGAAAAAGTATGAATTTGTATGCGTACATAATGCATGGGATAATTCTCTTCTGATTTCTTCCCATTCAAAGGCTGGTAGAAAAGGGTCCCAATGGCGGCGAGGATGGAGGAACAGAGCGAATCGATGAGGATCAGAATGTTGGACGAATGGGAGAAGCAAACGATTGAAGAGCATGTTCACAGAATCTATGACTGATTGATTACTCGTTGATCTGAAAATAAGAAAAATATATATTCAGATTCGTTTGAAACAATTTTCGCACATATTCAATTGTGATTGCAACTCCATGATAGCGGGAATGACATCGGCAATTGTTGTGTTCGAGTTCAGAAGCTGGAAAATGTTGAATTACTCTAATAAAATGACACAGTTTCCACTCACCGTTTTGAGCACACTTTTACAGTGATTCAGAAGATTATGCAAGTAAACAATGTCGATGTTATCATGACCAGTGATGTACTTGACTGGTACGGAATTCTGGCTGACGAAATCACTGAACAGTCGATGCATGTGAAGACATTTTGTGACAAAATCTACGGTGGTTATCCAGTGTCCACTGTCGATTTCTGGATATTCTCCGTAGGTTCGTTTTCTGATGATAAACGATTTGAATCGACTCCAGATGTGGCGATTAACTGGGAATTGATTGATGAAGTGACGTAGTCTCTGAAGTGGAGCCGCAAAATCAGGATGTCTGATGAGTGATTCGGCGAATTTGTTCAAGTTCTCAGAGAAGCAAACCATTCTGAAAAGAAAATTGCAGTGAGAAACCATTTGTCAATTTGAATAAGAAACTAACACTTGTTTGAAAGAACTCGTAGCTTCCAACGGTTCTTCGAACTCGGCCTTTCCAGTCACAATAGTAGTAATTGGTAATCGCCTGCCCGAAACTATAGATTCCTCGATCGTGCTTTTGATTGTAGACATTATTGAGGATATAACCGGACTAAAAAACCGTGTTCGTGAATTATAAAAAAAAACTAAAAAGCTTACTGAGTGACTTCAAACTCTCGAAGAAAAATCGACGTTTTCCTCCGGCTCTTCTGAAGATAGTGAACAGAGAACGCCAGAAAGTTTCGATTGTTGAATGATGTAGTGTCGAAGGTCACAGTCACTGGGCCATTATCTGGTTGAATTTTTGAATTCTGAAAATAAAATAATGTTAGGGGCAAAATGTGTAATGTTAGGGGCAAAATGCTCACCGTTTTTAAAGAAGCGAATTCCTCCATATATTTACAAAGTATGTCAACAGACGGTAAACTATATGACGAATTGGCATTGAAACAGAGCATTTCGAGATTTCTATCCTGAACTGTTTTCAGAGGCAAACCATTTCTGATTAAGAACGTGCAGAGCTCCCGATCTGCTTGCATTTTCGTCTTTTCTGGAATAGCAGCGTACTTTTTCGGTGCCGAATCACTGAAAAAAAGTTGGTTTTTTTAAATTTATTTTTTAAAAATTTATAAACAAAGCTGAAAACTGACGCTTCTCCCGTTTGGAGGTAGTTCCGAATCAACACAGAATGTTTAAACTGGAAATGCATTCGAACTGGGCGAGTATCCGTGCTATTGAAGTATTGCTCCGGGCACATTCCACACTCGAATGCCGTTTCTCCACTGAGATTGCTGCTCGTCTTGACACAAAATGACATAACTTCACAATCAGACAACTCTGGGTAGTAAAGTGGAAGATCCTCAAAATCAACAGACGGCTTTAGTGGTGGTGGGAAAAGATTCCGAAATCTAGGATAACTGTTTTGGTTCGGCTTTGATGTGGATGGAGCACATTCAATTTGATAACTGTCTCGCTGTTGATAGTTGTTTTCATCTTCGTAATTGGCGTAACTATTATCTTCATATTCGAACGCAACATCCGCGTAATCCACTGCTTCTTCTTTTGGTTCAACTAAACTGTAGCCTTGGCCGTAGGCATCTTCCTCGACGATATCCTCCTGCTTGACATCCTGGAGATATTCCGTAGATGTCGATGGATTTTCAAAGTATAGATCGGAGGAAATCTGAAACTTTTGAATAAAATTTGATAAATTTATTTGTTCTGAACATACAAGTCCTGGCATTTTGTACTCATCGAGATGTAATTTGCAAACAAACTGATCGCCGCCTTTCGATGAATACTTGAGTTTCAGACTGTACTGTTTTATCCATTGATCCAACATTTCTTCGCTCTTCGGTAACACTACCATGCAGGATTTTTCTGACATTCTATTGCACATACAGCAAAGGAACTTCATCTGAAAACTAGCGATTTTTAGAGCAAAACATTTAAAAATTGAAAATTTTCTGCCAAAATAGGTTGCGACATTAATTGTGTTTCGAAACGAAATTGTAATTATTGTAACACAGCTACGACAGAATGCACACAAACTTGACAACCGTACTCGTACTGTATTTTCATCAACGAAGAGACAACTACTACAACATAAGAAAAAATTCAGGAATATTTATAAAGCTAATTTATCAAGCTAAACGATAGTGTTTCCGCAGAGAAAATCCAGTTTTTGAACTAAAACTCATGAAAACCAAAAAAAAAAATTGCATTTTCAAAAAGTCCGCAAACACTATCGAGCAGGCGCAGACCCACGCGCACATTGTTTATCGTATTTTGGGTCGAGTGGGAGTGTGTCTTATTGACTTTCCCTTTATTTGCAGCCGAATGAATATAATTTTGACAATAGTAAGAAGAAACAACATGAGTTTTATGGAAAAATTGAAGATGTTAACATAGAGACTGGAATATCGTAAAAATTGGGAAAAAAAATAGTTTATTCCGCAAACACAACAACGCAAAATGCATACACTCTTTTACCGTAGTTTTGGAGAAAATTGTCGACATGTGACTTCACTTCGACGGGTCTCGCCACGAAAACGGCAATTTTCAATATTTACAGATGTAATGGGGTATTCGTGATCTGAAAAATATGTTGAGAAAAATGTGTGGGTTTCCGATGAATTCAATCGTTTTTGTTCGGTTCTTAAAATCAAGCAGAGTTTGTTTATTTGACTGGCTTTTCGAAAAAAAAACACATATTCTTATGGTCCACAACGGTAACTACTCAGCACTTTCAATTTAGGAAACAGCGGCGAAAAAGGGCTTTTTCAGAAAACGGGGGCGAACCACTGTTCCGATAGTTAATCATCGTGGCGAGACCAAGAAAAGTGGTGAAACCGTGGTGGATAGAGAGTTTTTCAGTAAACAGTGGTGAATAGAAATTTTTCAGGAAACAGGGGTGAATGAAAAAAACACCCTACCTTCGAAAACTTATGTTTTTTTTTGAAAATTTTTCACATGTTTTATATTTGCTAATTTCGCTTATAAGTTTGAGGACTATGTTTTAGAGATATTTAAAGAAGAATGCGAAAAAGGTAAGAAGAAATTACCAATAATATTATAACTATTTAGAAATCGAACTCATAGCCGGAAATGGCAAGACTAAAAGAATTGTTTGGAGTAATTTTATGCCAAGATTCTGAATGAAGTAAGCAAATTTCAAACTTATATGGATACGAAAATTTGGTTTTACCGAAAAAGGAACTTGTCTGGTCAAAAAATTTATGGAATATTCTATATACTTCAGAACTTTTCTAAGTGTAAGTAGCTAAACAACACCGGTAATTTGGTAATTCATATGATTTTTTTTCCAGCAAAATGTCCCTAAATATAGTGAGTCTACCTTAAAAACGTCGAGATTTTACAAGTCACTTTGATGCCATACTTTGTCTGAAGATTTGGAAGTGCGCATATATTGCTTGATAACGTCCTATCAAATGATATTAACTCTATTTACGTTAATTTTATGTTTTTCAGAGGAAGAAGACAAATGATTGATTGTGGGAGATGGAAAGTTCGAACAGAATTATGCCGCAAAGAGCTGTAGTCCGATCAACAGGCTGCTAAATAATTGAACTTTCATTAAAATTTCAATAAATCTTTTTTTAGTCATTCTACTTGATTTTGTGTTTTTTTTTCAATGGAATAAAGTCGAAATGCAAAGAAAAGGGGCGGGCAAGCGCGCTCGAGGGCACCTCCAAAAACTTCGGAAACAGTGTGACAACTTAGTTCCGCCAGAGTTTCGCCACTGTTTCGCCACCGCTTCGCCGCTGTTTCCTAAATTGAAAGTGCTGAGTACCGTAATCTAAAAATGTTTTCAATTTTTGAGTTCTTTTCTCGATTTCCGTACGTTTAATCGCGTTTTCCGTCAGTTTTTTCGCTAAATATCGAAATATTCAATGTTCCGACTTATTTGAGGGAAAGTAACAGAAAACTCGACCAAAATATTCAAAAAACGAAAATCGGCAAAATAAAAGTATTTTCAAGTTACAAACCCAGCTCCGATTTTTGTACCAGTTTAATAATCCCATATTATGAGAAAACACTTGCAAAAAAGTTCCGCTATGAATTGGTTCATTGTCTTATGTCAAAAAAAAACGAACTGAAGAAATACCATTTGCAACGAAGGCCTCCTTTCCTAATCAATCCATTGAGAAATCTCACTATTGCGAATTATTCTATCAGCCCCCAGCAGTCGTTATCCGAATCGTAACTCTCCTTTGTTAAAAGAAAAACCATCATTCATTCCAACTCAGAACCATAATCTTTCCTCCTGTTACTACCGTATCTGAAAATCAAAATAAGGTGATCACACTTCCGGCCACTCGACTTAAATTGATAAAATCAGTTGTTAATCAGCTTCCTGATTCATATGAGTACATTCCGGATGTTTGTATTAACTGCATTCCAAATGATGTCAAGTTGCATAGTTGACATGAATCTGTGGACTAACCCCCGAGTTCAAACAGCCAAAAGAGTTTGTTTGTGTTCTGATTCTTTTTTAAAACTGATTGTACCGCAAATCAAACATCATCACAATCAGAAATTGCTCTTCTGCTCTCTTCCTCTTCCCATGTGCGTGGAAAATCACACTGTAAAAAAGAATTTGAGGGAATCAACAGTTCGGCGACATTTCACTATCGAGAAGTTTCTCGAATTCTTCAAGTAAACAGTATTCCTATCAAGAAGAGCGACGCAAGCAGAAAATAAAAAGAAAAATTGAAACGGGAGAAGCAAGAAATCTTGATAACGATGTGGAAACTGAAATTGGAATTGAACTCTGAATAGAAACTACGAAAGAGCCCGTAGTCTATAGAGAACCTATAGGAACTGTTTCAGACACAGAAGTTTCGAGAAAGTATATTGAAAATTTTGAAAACTTTGCAAAGAATCTTGGATGTAAACAGATAGATGGATAGAAGGATACAGGAGTAGACACCTGAAATATATTCTGAACTTCAAACAGGATTTTAAAATGTTCGATTTTCGAATATATTCATCTGATACTTCTGGGATAACTTTTAAATAAATACAGTTATTATAAAATACAGGAACATTTGTAAACTGCAATTTTTGCATAATTATAATGAACACCACAAAAAAAGTCGAATTCTAAAAACTTCATCGGAATATTAATTTACCCTAACCTGTAATAGAAGGGCCCCTAACATTTAACTTCAAACAATTTTTTTTGGGTTCCTAAGATATGAACAAGTTGCCAACTGACAAATTGTTTATCATCACATCAGAGGTTCTTTGTCAGTTGACACATTTTGATATCTTTCATAGGAATTGAGATAATTGAGCTCAAACTTAGAATTTTTCATTACAGATTTTACGATATTTGTACGTATTTTTTTCTGCTCAAACTTTTTATCTGAACAAAACTATCGAATTTACCTATGGATAGTTTCAGAAAAACGTTGTCTACTGTAGTAACTAAAATTGCTTGGCGCTCTGATAACTTTGACCCTAATTATTTCGGTTTGGAGAAGAGGTGTCAGAAAATTACCAACTGTCTGAACTTCTGTAAAAATTTAAAGATTTTCTTCTTAAATCACAGTTTTCATATGTATCTCTTGCAGAATTCAAAATTCTTAAGGTAAATGGAAAGTCTTATAAAGGAAATCCGATCCTTTGCATAAGTGTAAGCCTGGTTCTGGCGGGCCTTCAAGGATACTGCCATATGTTCTTTCAGAATCAATATTTTCAGACCAACTAAATTGAATTAGATAGACTCTGACGAGTACTGCAAAGTTATACTGTTTGAAATACTGTATCTTCTCAATGAACAAAGTTACCAAAGAAACGGTCCGAAAAAACAGGAGAGGGCTCTATCCAGCCCGGATCAGCCACTACAAGGACTATAACCGGATCAGCCACTTGTAGTACTCGTCGAGTTGTCTAATTTAGTAGATCTGAAAATTTTGATTCAAGAAAAAATAGGACAGGGCCCGCGAAAGCCAGTCAGAGCCCATTTTACAAGTAAGGAGATAGTCTAATGAAGAATTTGACCATTCCTCTAATTTTCTTTAATGATTTGGAAACCAATGTCCAGAGGCATGCATGTACTTCCGTAACTGAAAATACTCAATTTGATCTTTTCCTTTTTGTGCAAAACATTATCATAAGACTAGTAACTCATTCAGAGCTCAAATACAAAAAATTCCACATATTCAACTTTCAAAGTAGTCCTTATAGTGTAAAACTAGTCCTTATTTGATCATCAAATCATACTTCTGACGATAACTTTCAATGAACCTTCCCCTGCTTCCATGGTCTTATCAGTGTTGCACGAGATCATTGTGCCTAATACTTGGCGCCGCGTCACATGACTCTCTCCTAATTAGACATTATCTTGAAGATGGCGCACCAGGTACTGCACGTCTTTCATTTTTACATTCCCGGATTTCACTGATAACAGTTTAAGCTAGTGCGGTAACTGATAAGAAATAAACTATAAAAGGGGAGCCGAGCGCTTCAGATTCAGCATTTGCTCTATTCTGCTATTTGCTCCTTTTCAAATATGGTAAGTTCTCTCTGGAAGTTTTTCCGAGTTTTCAACTGATTCATTCCAGAAGTACGTTGTCTTCGCCTCTTTGTTGGCTTTGGCCACTGGACTCGTCATCCCAGTCGTTCCAAAGACTCCAGAAGCAATCACCGAGTATGTCAACTCTAAGCAGTCTCTCTGGAAGGCCGAGATTCCAAAGCACATTACCATCGAGCAGGTCAAGAAGCGTCTCATGAGAACCGAATTCGTTGCCCCACACACCCCAGATGTTGAGGTCATCAAGCACGACATCCAAGAGGATACCATCCCAGATACCTTCGATGCTCGCACTCAATGGCCAAGCTGTGTGTCCATCAACAACATTCGTGATCAATCCGATTGTGGATCCTGCTGGGCTTTCGCTGCCGCCGAAGCTGCTTCTGACCGTTTCTGCATCGCCTCCAATGGAGCCGTCAACACCCTTCTCTCTGCCGAAGACGTCCTTTCTTGCTGCTCCAACTGTGGATACGGATGCGAAGGAGGATACCCAATCAACGCCTGGAAGTACCTTGTCAAGAGCGGATTCTGTACCGGAGGATCCTACGTATCCCAATTCGGATGCAAGCCATATTCCCTTGCTCCATGCGGTGAGACTGTTGGAAACACCACCTGGCCAGACTGCCCACAAGACGGATACAACACTCCATCATGTGTGAACAAGTGCACCAACAACAACTACAACATCGCCTACAAGGATGACAAGCACTTCGGAAGCACCGCTTACGCTGTCGGAAAGAAGGTCGCCCAGATCCAAGCTGAGATTCTTGCTCATGGACCAGTCGAGGCTGCATTCACCGTCTACGAGGATTTCTACCAATACAAGAGCGGAGTTTACGTTCACACCACTGGACAAGAGCTCGGAGGACATGCCATCAGAATTCTCGGATGGGGAACTGACAACGGAACTCCATACTGGCTTGTTGCCAACTCATGGAACGTCAACTGGGGAGAGAACGGATACTTCCGTATCATCCGAGGAACCAACGAGTGCGGAATTGAGCATGCCGTTGTTGGAGGAGTCCCAAAGGTCTAAATTTGTAATTTCTATGTGTCTTGAATATTTCATACGTGTATATAGATATGAATAATAAACGATTATGTATTGATAGAAATGAGGTGATTGGAGAAAGTCAAAACGAAGAATAATGGGGAATACAAGACAAAAATTTGTGTCTTCTGATGCAATGATCAGTTCCAACTTAAGCGTTTCTTCTAGAACTGATTGGAAGCTTGACAAATATTTTAGAATTTTCAAAACAGTTTTATTGGTAAGAAGCCCTAAAGTTTTTATTGCTATACAAGAAATGAATACCGTGAACACTCTAATAGAAGCTCACCTAAACCATCAACTTCAAGCTCATATATCTCGGTTCCTGTGAAAGATATCAAAAAGTTGTCAACTGACAAAACGTTTACCATAATACAAAAAAGATTTAGTATGTTATCTACTTTTTGATATCTTCTATAGGAACCGAGATAAACAGGCTCAAAGTTAAAATTTAAAGGTTGCAGTATTACAAATAAATCTATGAGATGTAAGATCGACTTACGGTAGTTTTTATGATATGTGAATTTAATATTGAACTTGATATGTTCTATCTGGCATTTTTTCTAGCTAAAATTTAGCTGGAAAATTAAAAGAAAGACTAGATAATTCTGGACTTTGATTTGATTTCCGAGTTAAGTCAAATCTCTGATGGCTTCATTCATTTCGTTCAATAAACATCTTATCAGTCTTTCTCCTGACGCAAATTCTATTTCACTCTATTCAGAGGAACTGAAACATCTCAAAAAACTTTTGAGGAGTCACATAAACTGATAACGCCGAGTGCATCACACAAAGGAATTTGATCTTAAAATATGCTTTCTTTGTTTGATGAAATCTAAAAATAGTTTTTTTTTCTAAAAAGGTGCAAAGAGGAGGACCACATGAAGTACCGATTCAAACCAAAGGTTGATTTTTGGTAACAAATGCTCCAACTGGCTACAAATTGGACAATTTCACCGGCACATACACAGTTTCCTGGAAGATACAGATCACATTTTGTGCGCGAAGTGACCGCCGGCGAAGAGAACAAACATGAAAAAGTTGGAATCGAGGTTGTATTGGCTCAGTTTTGTCCCGATTTACAAGCCAGCTGGGCTTTTTTCTAGTCCAGATATTTTTTTGCCTATGATTTGAATTTTGTGTTTTCGTGTTGATCTGATTAATTGGTTGGACTGATCAGGTGTAAATGATTCATGGAAAAATTGAGAACAGAAATGATACCCGTCTAGGTGATATCGTTGTCGTTTCTGATTTTGTGTGTTGTGACCATTTTGGTACTTTATCACTATTTAGACCAGTCATGAATCATCTGGAATATCGAAAAGAACATTTTGGATGCAAAAAAAGAAAAAATCAAAAACAAAAGTATTACTCATTCTTTGATGATTGCTAGAAGATCCACACCAAACCGAATAGATAACAACAACAATATCTTCGTGTGGTAATTAATCACTTTTTAGAAAATAGAGAAAGTTCCGAAAAGTGACATACCGGAAGTTTAGGTGACAATCATGTCGGAAATAGGTTCGGATGATAGATGCCGATTTGAAGGCTCTAAAAAAGTAGGTCAAATATGTTTCCTGGTTCTGAGAGTTTCAGAAAATATCAAGAACCAAAACAACTAATTTTTGTAGATAACCTTTTTTTTTGGAAGCGTGTCTTCTTAGGATAGATGCGGTGTATATGGTTTCAAAGAACGCAACTCGACAGTTCGAAAGGGGGTACGACGAATTCGAACGTTTTCAAAATCGAACAGACCTAGAATCGAACAGATTCAATTCAGAACAGTCCTTTTTTCGCACACGTACCAGAACAGAACGCGGACAGAATCGAACTGTTACAAGTTCGAACTGGTAAGGAGTCTAACTGTCCCAAATTGGAACGCTGTTTTGTGTGTGCTTTCATGCGCGCTCTGTTGCAGGCAGTTCGAACTTGTAACAGTTCGATTCTGTCCGCTTTCTATTCTGGTAAGTGTGCGAAAAAAGGACTGTTCTGAATTGAATCAGTTCGATTTTAGGTCTGTTCGAATTTGAAAACGTTCGAATTCGTCGTACCCCAGTTCGAAATCGATTTTCATATTTATTGATTTTTAAGCGAGCTACGATCATTTCAAATTTGGATAAATGTGGCCTAGTTTTGGGATCCTAGGCCACCAAACTAAAATGGGCATAACTCGCTTCAATACAATGTTTTAAAAAATTTAAAATTCGTGCAATTTTGTCACAATTTCTATTTTCCATATACACCATGGCCTAGTTTTTAAAAACTTAAACTTCAAAAATGTTCTTACTTCTGAACCAAATGACTCGAATCTCGCTACTTCCATGTGACACTTCAACCTCGAAGTAGTCAACTGAAGCTCGATTTTTTGTTTTACATTCTCTGAACATCTGAGAACAATCGAAACACTTTGATATGTTTTTCAAAACAATTTAGATACTTTTATTGAAAAACATTAAAATTAGCATCCATTTAAAATTTTCTCTGAACTAATTTTAAGATTTTTCTACAAGTTTAAGATTCCTAAAAATAAAGTCTGACTGGAGCTGTCAACTCATAAACATCATAACATCAAAAGTGTTTTGTCAGTTGACATATTTTCGATATCTTGCCCAGAAGCCGAAAAAAAATCAGCTCAAACTTGACTGTGTGGGGCTCTTCTATTACTGGTTTTTTAGTAAAACTTACAAAAAATCCAGATTTAAAATAACAAAACTCTTTTTTCAAAAGTATCTATTTCATGAGCCTCTTTATAACATCACTCTCCACTCTAACAACCATTCTCAGACATTTGCCGTATTTGTTTCATTTTGCAAAGTCTATGCGAACAAAAAACTGCCTGCAGTCCATTTTCCGATTCTCTTTCTTGTTCTCGCTATTCTCTTGTCTTGTGAGCATTTTTTCTTACAAAGGCTACAGCTTAGAGATCAGAATCTTCTCAACCCCGCGAAAACAGAGAGCAATCAAACGATCTTGACGTACTTTCCACATTTAAACTCGGCGAGAGCTATTTTTAGGCGATTAGTGTTCCGCTGTTACGTGAGGTATGTAGTACTCAAAAGACACAGTTCGGAAGCCACGAGGAAGATAGATTTTCGTAGTTCTCGCTACAATGTAATAAAGGAAATAGGAGTGACCTATAAAAGACAGGAAGAAAAGGATGGCGCGAAATGGGAGAGAGGTGCTCTTTGTACTCGACTGTTGTTTGATTCGTTGTTTCGACTGTTTATTTATGTTTGGATAAACATCAAAACTCATTCGAACAAGCGCCGCAACTTGAAAGAACAGCGACATGAACAAGATAGGATCGGAAGACCGCACGTGCTTTGTGCTTATAATCACTCATAGAACTGTGTTCTTTTGTTTGAGAACAATTAGTTTCAATGCTCCCGAAAAGCATGACACATTTCCGTGGGAAGAGTAGTGGACAGGCACAAAAGATACAATCAGAGAGATCCGAAAACAGTATTCAAACTCTTTGAGGCCCTGGCTACTTTCCTCCCTTTTTTCAAAATTTCACTACAGTTGATTATATAACTCAAAGAAAACATTAAATAGAAAATACTTCCAAATCTATTCGGACCGTCATCTGATTGTGTCTCGAATCATCCCTATTACGGTAACCCAATCGAAAAAGAATTTTGGCGAATCGATTTCGATGAGCTTCGGGACAATTTAAAAAACACCGTAAAACCTGCGAAATCTGGTCCTCTTAACTTTGAACTTGAAGCCAATTTTTCTCGATTTCTGTCATAGATATAAAACAGTTATATTATGATAGATTTTTTATCATATTATCATAAGTATTCCATCAGTTGGCATATTTTTCATATCTTGTATAGGAATTGAGATAACTGAGCTCAAACTTAACTATGTGGGGATCCTTTCATCACATGTTTTACGAAGGTATAAAAAAAAAGATAAAATTTGCATAGGTGGAATTTTTATAATCAAGTATCTTTTGAGCAGCCTCAAGTATAATTTCCGAGTTTCGCAATAAGAAAATAGAGCTTAGCACATATCGGAAACCCTGTAATAGAAGGGTCCCAAAATTTTAATGTTGATCCAGTTCATCTCGATTCCTTGGAAAATATAGAAAAGTTGTCAACTAATAAATTGTCCACCATAATAAACATTTTATTAGTTGAGACATTTTTGATCATACGAACCAAGAAACATTAGCTCAAACTTGACAGGCTTTTCTATTACAGGTTTTACGATACATACGGTACATATCTGCAACGAAACACAATAGTTTCAAATCGAAGTTTGTAGTTCCATTGTGTTTTCTCCTAGAGTAGAAAAAATAGTAAAAACATTTAACACAATGTTGTTTGCATGATGTCCTCGTTAGCCGAATTGTTTCTACAGAAGACACAATTAACAGGAAAATGTGTAAAAACCAAAAAAGAACAGATCGGATCAAAACTGTTCTCGGAAAGGCTCATCATGTGAAAAAATGAGTCATTGGACAAGTAAAAGAAAGCCAAAGTTCGAACTGATTTTTGTAATAATAACATCTGGTGTCAATAAACTTTGAGAAATGGGTATTAGCCGAAAATGATTTTTCTCAACTTTTTGAAAATTGATATTTAGCAAAAAGACATTGCAAACCTAAACATTTGGAAGTTGCTTTGGACCAGTGAACGTTTATGAATCATAAAGTTGAAATAATTATGGGAAAGAATTCAAAAAGTCCCTGAAAAAAAACTTGAATCGTTGATACTAGATAACAGAGTAAGAAACGTTTTCCCTGATACTGATATTACAAAAAAGGTTGTTCCCGCACTGGTCATTACAATTTCTCCCTTTCATTTTTCTGGTCTCCATGTCCTATATCATGAGTCAATTGTCTCCCTGCGATAAGACACATCGGGCCCAAACGCATTAGCGAATCGTCTTTGCGGGTCGGAGGCGGGTTTTGTCAAGCATTTGCAGCATTTGGCAAAGATTGAATTGGTGGCAATGAAGATGCAGATACCGGCGATCTACAGATGACAGTCGTGCAGAGACGCAGACTAATCAGATGACATTAGAACTGTCGGAAGTCCAATTCGGCGAACGCGGGTCGCTGCTCGTAAGGGGCCGAGTAGCAATTGACACTTAGAGATTGACAATTCGTGAAGAGACATAGACACATTTGATAAGACGGAAGACAAGAGACATACATGTTTCGAATTAGGTGGTGGTAGATCGCTAGTCTCTATATATAAGGTAGCTCAACTATTTTGATCCGAAATTTCAATTCACTCAGTTTCATGACCGGTCGAATACTCTCCGAATTCTGAAAACAAAAATAGAAGCTCATTTAAAAGGGTGCACTTTTGATATTTGAGGAGATAATTTGATATTGTAGGAATCAGAAGATTATATCCTACAAATGTTACTAGTACATTTTTATTCTGAAGTCTTTAACACCTTCTTCATTACTTCTTCTTTTATGTCACGAAGCTGAAAACCAATTACTCCTTTTCTTTCTTGTTAATACAGTCTAGCTTGATATTTTGAAAGACATCACTTCAAAAGATGACATGATGTAACAATTCCACTTCTTCCAGATAATTGATATCTATAATTCTCTCACTTCTCCTTTTCTTCTTCCACAACTAGGCCATCCTTTTTAAGATTCGATTGTTTGCAAGCGATTTTTTTCTTTCGACCAGCGTAACGATTAGAGAACACGTCGCCTATGTCACCCTCGTCTGGGCACGTCATCTAAGAGAAGAGACAGAAGGGAGAGTATATCGAAAGTGTTTCTTTTTTGATCTTTTCTTCTTCGCAAAAAATGAACACAAAATTTATGTGATAAGTTTTGTGATTTGGGTTGACAATCGCTTTTATCTCTAATATTCTAGCATGTAGGTAGGTTTTAAACTTTCAAAGATATGTTCCAGAGGTTTAATAATGAACATTTGATCTATGTTATTATTCTCCTTCCTTCTCGCCTCTCTTGTTTTCCTAATTGATAGAAATCTGAAGAAGACAACACCCGAATCGAAAATTCTAGAAGTAATTTTTTGCAGAACCCACAAAATGGTCCCTGATAAAGCTTGTTTGGTTTGTAAGAAAACTTCAAATGGGATGCATTTTGGTGCTCTTACATGCCGAGCGTGTGCTGCATTTTTCCGAAGAGCTACAGTACTCAAACTGCAGTATAAGTGTAAGCAAGGAAATTCTCAATGCAATATTGATGGACGTGGAAGGTAACTATTTTAGCAATTATAGTCATGATCTCAATTTGTTGTCTTTCAGATACGTTTGTCGTCAATGTCGTCTGAAAAAGTGCAAAGCGATCGGAATGAACGAAGAGAGTGAGTTCTATTTTTAAAATCTTCATTTTCGTAAAAATTGTATTTTAGAGGTTCAATTGGACTATGATCCAACATATTCTTTCCGTGGATTGATGGAGGATAGTGGAAGTGTTAGTTTGGTTGTTATCATCTTTCCTTAAAATGGGTGCATTTCAGGATGAGTGTTCCACTCCAACGGGTAGTCCAGCCCAATCGGAATATAGTCCAACTAATTTGAGCCGGAAGAATTCTATCGAGTCTCCAGAAGTTGATCCGAACTTTTTGTTCACTTTCTCCCCGAAAGTCCCAGATAAGCCAAACATGGTTATTGATTTCAGTGGATTAGTAAAGAAGATTGAGACATGTTTTTCGGTAGGTTACAGTAATAAAAAACATTTTCAAGGTGATACAAGTTTTAGATAAAAACAATGAAAGATGAAAGCGAGTTGGAAGCGATGACTGCAGCGTTGAAAAGCTTTCGACAAGGACAGAAACCTCAAAATGAATTATCAGTTCGTCAATTTTATTGGAAACAATTTTAGTAATCCTAGGCTTCTCAGGTTTTGGAAAAAGTGGATGTGACTACTACTGTTGAATGGCTCAACGAGAGAATTTACAAGTATTCCTGCTGGTTCGCATCCTCGAAATCATTGATGTCTCTTCCAATGGATCAGAAAATGCAAGTTTTCCGATCCTCCTGGAATGTGGTTCGAACTTTCGAAAGACTTGAACAGTCTGTGAAGGTTTTTGAAGAAGATGTCATGAAATTCGGAGTGAGTTAATAAAAATGAATTTGGTTTGAAACTAATTGGTCTAATTGGTTTAGTCGATGGTTGTGACCGACGATTTTGCGATGCAGTGGGACAAAACTTATGTCGATCTTGCATCCATCACAGAACTCACTAACCAATACTTTAATAAGTGAGTTGTTCAAAAAATAATCAAAACGGGTCAAAAACTAGTCAAAAAGAGGCACAAAACTGGCAGATGAATTTCTGTATTAATTATAAATTTCCAGATTGTTTGAACCATTTATGCACCGATACATTGAAGAAGTGGCTCGACCATTACTTGATCTGAAACCAACTACAGAAGAAGTCGTATTCTGTATGGTTCACCTTATTGGTTTAGAAGGTATACCGTAGTTCATCTGGAACTCTAACAACTCTACTTTTTTAGACGCGGATTTTGCACTTGAGACTCAAGAAGCTTGTGAGCAAATGAGAGCAGAAATCGCAGATCAAATGCACACGTACTACACGAATCAAACTGACATAAAAATGTATTCTCATCGTCTTCTGATCCTTATGAAACTGGTTAAATCTATGAAGGTATTTTGAACTTCTTGTAGTTTTATGCTTATAAAAAGTGTGATTTTGCAGAGGATTTCTAGAGAAAAATCAAAGATCAAGGAGCTCATCTGGCTATTTGATATCTACCACGCAGACATTTCCGAGCCATATTTCTTCGAGATGTTTTAAATTCAAAGTAACAAAATCTGGAACTCATCATGATAATTATTTTTATACGAGTTTCGAAGTACGAGTCTATTTTTCTTGAAATCAAAATCACATAAAATATTTTTTAATAATTTCGTTGACAAGGACATCTCTTGGAATCTGAAGATGGTCTCCGTCGACAGCCAGAAATTGAAGTCGTCCGCTCTCGTGAAGTTTTCTGAGACCGATTCTATCTTCAAGATACAAATCTGTCTCATTCATTGGGAGAATTGTATCAATGTCTCCATCCTTGTAGAAACCAAACCACTGAAAACAAAAAAGGGGTTTCTTTCAAAAGTACAGTTAATAATACTTACCGATGATTCTTTTGGTACAACCATGTGATCTTGATTGAACTTCACGAGTAATATATTTTTCAAATTCAGAAGATTTCGTTTGTAGGTCGGATTGTTTTTCTGAACGAATGGATTCTTTGATCTATCGAATGTTGTTATCTTATCAATTTCTTACATTTTCGTTGTTAATGTCGGCAAGAAAGATTGATCTCTTTTTGTACTCATCTGGCTGGTTTGGATCGTGCCAATACTGCGCTTGGACAACCCTAGAAAATTTGATAGATCAAATTTCATCATTCAAATCAATCGTTGGATACCTTTTCTGAACAAATGGAAGATATGCTCCCATATCAATCAGACGTCTCACACTGTTGCACATTACGTTATCCCCGATGCAATACGGGGCTCCGAAAACTCCTTGTTGTTGACCCCCGATTGATACAAAGTTCTTCATTGGAGGATGTGGACATCTTTGAGCAACGGCTCGTAGAAATTGTGCACCTTGTGAGAATCCGATAGCATTGTAGCCGTTTGCCAGCTCTGGATCGTTTTTAATCTTGATGCATGCCATGTAAACGAGCTCATTGACATTTGCAAAAAATCCGTGCTCGATATCTTTTGTGATACTTCCACCCAATTCTAGACTGTGAACATACACTCCTGGAACTTCTTGCTCAATCAGTTTTTTCACCGATCCCATGGATAATGGATTACAACAGCAGTCACCTTGAAAAATAAATTGATTCAAAAAATCAAATATTAGCAAACCCATTCCATGCCACATAACAACTGGAACCTGTTTCGTTCCATTTCCAGCTCGAACATCTGCCACTGTTGAAGTGACAAATACTAGAGGGAATATCAGTAGAAAGGGAAGAAGTGTACTAGCCATTCGGTAGAAGAGTGAATGGGGTTGAAGAAGAAAATGGGATCAGATTGACTGGACAGAGGTCACCTGTTGGGGGCTCAGATGATAAGATAAGAGAAAGAGTGGGGCGATTATTGATTGAGAAAACAACTAGTGGAATGAGAACTTTGAGAACTGCTTGAAATGCTTTGAAAAAGGAAAATGCTTCGAAAATTGTCGAAAATCTAAGAAATTTATTTGAAAAAAAATCTGTGTGTTAAAATCATTCTTATAATAAATAAATAAAGTTGCGTCTCTTTCTTTGTTTGTCCGCTCACGTTGAAAAAGTTGAAATAAAATATGAATTTACGTGACCTTTTGAGTAAGACAGAGGAGCGAAGCGACGAATAGTAAAAGATATAGATTAAATCGCTCCGAAGGCGCGGCAAACAGGCTGGTGTTTACAAAAAGCATACTTGTCAATTTCTAGAATTTCGGACATGGTTTGCCTTCAAGCAAATAACTGCCGTTCCGAAAGCAATTGAATTAATATCGCAATACAGAATATTGAAGTGTTTTTGTTGGCAATTACAAAGCATATTTTTCCATAAGCACCGGCAGCGTATTCTCCCTTAAGACACCCGAAAAGAATACAACCTCAAAACTCATGTGTTTCATTGGCGAGGCTCTCGGCCATGGACGGAGAATTTCTGACACAAACTGGCAATTTTGGTTGAACATGAGTTGAACATTGTTAAAACAAAAAAGAAAACGAAAATCGATCGACAAGAATGGGCACAGTGCGCTCTTAAAAAATGTAGAAAACTTCTGGAACAACCTAATAGAAGGTTAGATTATTTAACAAAAATAACAAAGTAGAACGTAGTCCAAAATATAAAGCTTCTAAACTTTGCAAGTGTGCAAAAAACCTTTAGGATGGATGATGAATCAGATGCTCGAACTAAATTTTTCAGACAGATTTATTTACAAATTATTAAATAAAACCTGCCTGAACCGAAAATAGCAATGTTCCAGACCCGTATGTGCTCAAACGACTATTTCAGATTATAGCAAATCGTCTGTTGTTTTTCACTCAAAAGTAAGTAGCTTTAGTTCCCTAAAGAGTAAAGTCCTTTATAATCCTATCCGACTTTATCTTCTCCGTCTTTACCTGTTCCATAAATAGTTCCCTTTGATCTCAACGTATGTCCAGGTGTTTTTGAGTGTTATTTACAATTGGCATTCTCCATTTCAGACACCCTTTCATTTTAGAATGTCTTTAACATTTTCATCGAATTAAACGATTTTGAATTCCAGGAAAACACACCGACAACGACACCAATGTGTAATCGAATTATTCTCCCTTTTTTCATTTTCTAAGTTTCTTCAAGTGTTTCGAATTTCTGATACTCTGAATTCATGAATTTCATGGTTGGTGATTATTTTGTGCAGGTTCAAAATGTGTGTTTCCAAGCATGAATCACAAACTTCTTCAAAATTCCTTTCTGGTTTTTTTCTGAGCCTTTTGGAACGTGAGGGAAGAAGCAGAAAAACATGTGAAGTGAGCCGAAAGTCATATGATAATCAGCGATTTGACTGCATGAAAGCACCTCGGTCTCTAATGGCAACACACATATGTTCTAATGTTATTTCTTCTTATTTCTCCCGTTTATTATCCTCTTCTCCTGCTTCTTCTACCGACGATGTGGGATTGAGGACAAAATAGGTGTACTTTACTAGTGACAGAGATCTTGAGGACATGTTTATGTGATTCACAAACTATAACATATTCTCGTTTGTTTTGGTGATCTCGTTTGTTCCTGTAAACAAGATAAAAGATACCAAAAATACAAAAATTTCATGTCAGAGATAGAAAGAGAGCACAAATCAGAAAAAATTAGAGTTTTTGTTTTCGATTAGTTTCTGTTAAACTCAGATTTTGTTAAGATAAAAAAGCGTATAAAATCTGGTATATGATGATGATACATCGTTTATTTTTGACCTGAAAATGTCCTATTGATGTCGATCTTTTGAGAATCGAAACAAGAAATATCGTAAATTTAAGAACAATTTTCATACTGCTCTGAAACCAGTTACATGCTCAATTTTCCAATATTTTTGTCATTGCTCCAAACTGAAAGGCACTATTTATAAACAATCATTTTTAAGAAGTATCTCTACCTTCGACCAAAAAAACGTTCTTGTTGTTCCTAACGTCTCTTGCCAATAGCCAATTACAACAATATGTCGAAACGGTGTCCCTCCAGACGTCGTCGTCGGTGTGTGCACCCGCTCAAATATTCATACATATCCGATATTGTTATTGCCATTTGAACTTTCTCCACCCTCCACACGACGACTTTTTCAGACTCCATTTTCAGCAGTACCAACCCGTCTGTCTTCTTCCTATTTTTTCTCCTACGAAGCACTGCTCGACGTCTTCTTGTTTACCACTACTTGTCCTCTATCCTAGTTTCTTTTTCCCCACACACACACACGTTTTCTGCTCTCTCTCTCTCCTGTTTTTGTGTCTCTTTTTTGGTTTCCCTCGTTTTCAGCCTATATCTCTTTTTTCTGCTTCTGAATCTGTCGCTACGCCAAGTCTCCTGAGCTCACGCCTTCTGGAGTGCGTCGTACATTTATTCTCAAGAGAACAAAGTATAAGGCAATCAGACAAGCGGAGGAAGAAAATGTACTTTTGATTAGAATTCGTCCATTTTTCCTGTCCATAGAAAACGAAACCGCCTCAGTCGACAGCGTGTCAAATATCGGACTTTATTTTTATTTTGTTAAATGTTAGGCTGCGAATAGTTTTTTCTTTCCTTTTTGGCAATTTAAGGTGGTTCGTCTTTGGTCCCAGCTGATGCGAAAACTAATTTGTGTAGGCCAGGTTACGGTAGCTCATTCTTTTTTTTCAGCTTTCTATTTATTCTAGGCCAACTCAATTCTCAGAAGTTAACCTGAAAATCCTTAAGAAACGTTTTTTTTATCTCTCTCGCTCTCTCCCCGAAGAGAAATCGTTCGATCCGATTATCCTTTTTTTTCGCATTATCGGCTGTTTAATTTAATTTCCAAAAAAGCTGCGATGTTTGGTTATATATGACTTCCTTTCTTTTTTCCTTTGCTCCATCCGAATTGATAATTTGTCTAGGATTTTTCAATGTTTGCTCATGTATCCTCTACTCATGAATTCTGTCCTTCTGAAGTCTTTTCATGAAGACCACATCCCTCCGCCTCCATCTTCCTTTCTATTATTGAAAAAGAATCCACGTCATTTTTTGGACAGCTTGTCTGCAACAGAGACCTATAATATGTAATCTTTGAATACCACACACTTTTATTCGTGATATTTTTCATGTCATTTACGTCTTCGAGTATTGGCATTTTGCTGGTTTCAATATTCAACAGCTTCATAGTTCTTCCTTAAGTTAACTCACGTGAATGGGATTTCTCTTTTTCCTGGAATCATCTTCATGGCAAACAGATGACCGTGTTTCTACATATTAAACATGATACGATTAACATTCTTGGAATCATCTGAACGATGTCTTCCTATCACCTTTACTATTTCTATGAGGTGTTGCATAGGAAAATACGTTTGTTTTTTACATACTTGCAAAATCATGGGCCTGGCCGGGCCGGGCCGAAGATTTCCAGGGCCCAGCCCGACCTGTAGTAGAGCCTGTAACGGAGCCTACCCCCCCCCCCCCCCCTACCAAGTATAAAATCAATTATCACTATGCAATATATGGAAAAGTTGCCAAATGATAAAATTCTAGAATTTTGTTTAGGTCACGATAGTTGCTGTAGGACCTTTGACCACTGCCACTGGCGTGTCGCTTCCACAGTTCCGATTTTTCGTACCAGAAAAATATATGACTTTGAAAACAAGTTTTGCAGTGTTCTAACAAAAATCAAAGTGGGCCCAAAATTTTGAATAATACGTTTATTAGCTTCCTCAAAACTAAAACGACTTTTCGAACTCTTTTCAGAACTCGCATGACTGACATTCAAAGAATTTTTTCTAGACATGTCACCTGCTTTCAATATGATAATACTCTGCTGATTTGGCTGATTTCATATACATTTTTTTTCACTAAAAGCTTTCGGAAAAGAAGTCACATTATATAGTCAGACATCTCATCCCATTGGTGCCCTTTGAAACAAAATTGTGTCCTAATTACTAGTTATCAAGCATTCTACGAATTCGCGATTTCCGCCCAAAACCATTTCGCTGAATTTTGTTTTGTCGTCGTTTCTTTTTTGCTATCCAATACGTCACGAATTCTTTTAGCACTCATTCTAAGTCTAGTCTTGAATCTTCTTGGAACTCTCTCTCTCTCTCTTCTCTATCTTTATTTTTCTAAAAATTCTCGTTCTTTTCATTTTCTTCTCTTCTCCGCTTTTTTTCTACTTTTTAGCCTTGTTCGTGCTCTTCTCCGTCACCAGACTGACCAGCACGCATAACTATGTCTCCTGATATTTTCCCTCATTTCTCTTCTTTAAGTCTCTAGCAAAGTGCGTGGCTGTTGGCTCCAAAAACGAGGCTGAAACCAAATGAGCGCGGACCGGTGTATACGTGTCTTGTGAGCTTTTCTAAGCTCTTGGCTACATTTCTTGCATCTATTTCTGTTTCATTTGGTGTAAGACTTAGCAAAAAGAGATATGGATGAAGACTTGGCACTCCTTTTTGGATCAAAAATTGGATCGAATAAAGAAGAAGAAGAAGAAGAAGACGTTGAAAAAAAGAATACGAAGAAGACTGCGAAAAACGGGTAGAAGCGGGCGCTGCGCTCTCTCGACGAATTAATTAGAGATAGGAGCAGGAGAAGAAGGAGAAAAGAGAGAGGCTCGTTTGAGCTCTCTCTCTCCTTTTCGCCTTTAACAGAATCTTTGCAACTTTCCCCATTTTTTCCCTCTTCAGAGTACCTTTTTCTTCCTCTCTCTCTCATCAGTCAAATGTCATGTTCTTTTTTCGAATGTTTAGCAGTCCCGAGACAAAATCTATTAAGTTAGTTTTTGAAGAAAATGGAACAGGTGGGGTTTCTTTTTTTACCCCTATGAGATGCATATGATTTTTTCAAATAAATAACAAGAAAAAATCGGGGATAGAACAAATGACATTTGCGGTTTTTCCAGGCGCTACCGTATTCCTGTTGTTGATCTCTTTTCAGCTGCGAAAAAAAGAAGACAATCAGCTGAGCCGTCGTTTCATGATATCACGGGTATCATGCTCAGTATTCTAGCTTAGCTGGCAGAAAAAAAAAACGAACTACACATTATTTTCAGTAGATGATTAGAGCAATCTGAGAAAAAATGGATATCGCTAGGCAGGCCCGACGAAATGTGTGGTCTGTACCAGCGTTGAGCAGAATTTCGTCTTCCGGGAATTTTTTTTTCCATATTCCGATCATACTTGCAACGGGCCGGGCCGGGCTTTTTTCAGGATTTCCAGGGCCCGGCCCGGGTTTTCAGGAACAAATTTTTCCTGTCCTTTCAAAAAAATTTTTCGGGGTCAATTGAAAAAATGGACGATTTTTCTGTCAAGTGAAAACTTTTCAAGATATAAGTGTTCATAAAAAATAGTTTTTCACAAAATAATTTGAAAAAATGTGTGAAATTTCAAAAAAATTTTCAAATTTGGAAAACCCGGGCCGGGCTCTTGAAATCTTCGGCCCGGCCAGGCCCGGCCAGGCCCGCGGGCCGGGCCCTGATTTTGCAAGTATGATTCCGTCATCCTTTTTCAAGTTCCGGAAAAACCAAAAATATCGAAATTCCCGAGTTTTTGTAGCATCAGTAGAACTTTTATTGAACTTTTCCGAAAATTTTCTAGCGGATCCGTCAAACTGTAAACCCGTTGCAAAAACTTGGATCCATCAGCCCTGACTGCTGAATGTCTATATTATTCGATTTTCCGTCTTTCGCTTTCCGCAGATTTTCTTGTTCCGCTACGGTCTTGTGGTATTTTCGCTCAACACTGGTCTACAATAGTATTTTAAATGATTGCAAAATATCAAAACGTTATTAAAAGCTTTTGCAAACAGTTTAAATCCAGATAAATCCAGACTAAATCCAGTTTCCTCTCCAACATTTTTCCAATCCCACACTTTCCTATTCATGTTC